TCACCATATTGATACATGTTTTAATCCTATCTAAGCTTTCGGATTACATAACAGACTATCATTATTTTTTTGTCCGTGTATAGTTTAATATATTGTAATGTAATCGTCATCTTTGATAATGGCTTATGACTCAGAGACGACAGGCTGCTCACGCTAGACGCAATCGTCAGCGCTAACTCATCGCTCTTCCTTAATGAATAGAGCACTCTGCCTGCCTGGCGTTTGTTTACATTCGTAAAAACAAGACGCTAGAATTTGCCTTTCGCTCTGCCGAAACGCTGATGACATAGTGGTAGAAACTCCGACTGATACCAAATCGGTCGGGTTTCGGTTCTGGCTTGAAGCATTCGGTTGCCTAGTCGCACTGATGAGCTGTGATACAGCGAAACAGTCCTGTAAGCGAATGACATGATATATATATATATATATATATATATATATATATATATATATATCATATCTTCATTCAAGCATGTTTGTTTCAATAATCTAGGTGTATTATCTCTATTTACATTTATTCTAATCCTCTCAAATTTAGGCAGGTGGCCGAGTGGTTAGAACGTTTGAATTCTGACCATGAGATCTGTCGATTTGTTAGAAAGGAAACTTCCAGATGCTATCGTACTGGAGGGGTCGATCCCAATGTGCGGCACCGTTGGAAAGTGACATACAAGCCTTGTGAGTGAAATTGGGTAGACGATATCTGTGGTAGGACTAAGTCACAAGTCATCGTGGCCGAGTGCCTGAGCGTGATCAATTTGTTGATCATGCTAGAAAAGACGCTTTTTCCCAGAAACTGTAAGTAAGGTCTGCTCAGAATAGTTGCAGTATAAACCACAGGTCGACTCTACAGGTGTTGAATAAACACAAATGCGTCTGAGCAAGCGTATGCAATAGGGATTGGCTAGCCACCTTAGTCGACGGGTATCCTCGAATACCAGTGGCCATCTTTACGGATATATATATATATATATATATATATATATATATATATATATATATATATATATGTATGTATATATATATATATATATATATATAATATAATTCATCCTAAGAAAGGAGAGAATGCCACTAAGGCAAAAAAGATTGAAAGAGAATGAAAAGACTTTAGAAAAAGACCCAGAAACACACGATCCTCATGCTATATGCAATCGTGGCCTGACGATTGCATATAACTTGAAACAGACTGTCGCCTCTAAGTGTTGACTTCTATGTCCACTTTTATATATATTTACACGCTCTATCTCTGATATTGAGCACTTTATTCCATAAATATAGCATACCTTAAGACTATATATATATATATATATATATATATATACTTATCTTCTCAAATTCACGGATCAGTTTCTCAGTGCTGTTACAAAACTGATTAAGAAAGATGCCGTAGTGTTGATTATTTCTTTTACGGATGGTATTTCTTTCTTGTATGGTATTGAAAATATTTAATAATATTAATATTAGTTTTAATTAAACTTAATAATAACATTATTACCAAATATAAACACACGCCGAAAACATTACATTACATCAACATCTTTCTTTGAAGCCATTCTTAAAGAATTTAATTTATACCTATCTAATACAAAGAATATATGCTTAAAGCGATCAGTCATGGATTAGAATGATGTGACATCCAGCTGCGCTGGCTCACCGCACAAAAGTGAAGACATTAGAACTCCCACTAGACAGACATACATACACAATTACGAATACACATTAGCATCCGATGCCCGCTTAGCCATCCAAGAATCTTCACAAACTTACATACATATAGGATTATCTATGGTTTTAATGCACATGACACGTGACGGACCAATGAGGACTAACCCAAACAAAATTGAAAATGCCAGTGTTTGTTTCTCTCAATAAGGTTTAGTAAAAGTGAAACATGTTACATTGGTATACGTTTCCTGTTTGTTCTCTATTTTATCATCTTTGTTGGCTTTCGATCCACATTTGATCTTCATTTGATCTGCATTTGATCTGCATTCGATCTGCATTTGATCTTATACATATAAATCATACATACAAATAAATATAAATATCATATACATATAAATCGAAACTCAGGGCCTCACGCTATGACAATCGGAATAGCAGTCCAAACCATTTGAAATGAAATATCCGGCTCTTTTACCATCTCGCTCATGCGGGACTATTCCCCGCTCATCTTGACGACTTCAGTGACTCTCCTGCAACGAACTGATCGGTTTCTACCCGGAATTGGATTTGGTACGGTTGTTTACACCCGTTTGAAACTTTTCCATTTGTTAAAAACATGTTTCTTCGGCAAACATATCATCTCACAATGCTTCATACCAGCCATTTTCCAATGCAATAAATTGACCACGTTTTTTTTTTTTTTTGAGCCGCCATATTTAATTAAACTGTAAACTATAAAATAGAAGTATGTTTGGAAGCCTTATGGTAAATTCTAAACTGTTTTACGAATAGGTATGTTTCATATTATGTTTAAATAATGGACAATTTTTTTTTATGTTTAAATAATTGGTAAATATTCATGCTGTGCCTGGTAAACTTACGTATATTATAATGCTCGGAATCACTTTTGAAAAAACTATAATCATCACCATCACACACTATCATTTGTCCCATGACAGGTGTTGGTCATAGCATCGCTCGAAGATAAACGTTTGACAAGTTCCCTTAATATATCTGGGTTGAAACCTGGAGAGTGATATACATTCATGTCTAACATGACTTGATCAAGTAGACCTGGCAAAGCCCATCCCTCTGCAGATAAAACCACAGCCGATGTCATTCAGCTTGAAGGCTCGCCTTGGTCACGGAGATGTGGCCATTGATTTCAACTCTCACCCTATTCGTTTCCTTCAATCTAGGAAGTCCTCTAACCAATGATGCTTAGCACATCACTCTGGTTCTAACCATAGCTACAGAGCCCAATTTTTAAATAAATGGCCGTTGACCCTACAAGAAATTTCATCTGCCATTTGACAGGTCTTGATTTTAATCTTACTAGTATCTAACCCCTCCTAACAAGAAAATCTGGTGGAGGAACTGGTTTAGTATACGAACACCTGACCATGCGCCAAGTAGTATTAGGTTAAATGGTAGCAATTGAGTGATCTGATATAAATCGAAAATCTGTATAAATTTATTTTTTCAAAAAAAAAAAGAGAGCACTCCGTGATACTTAAAAATTCAATTGATCGAGGCTTATCGACCCGGGGAAGGCTATAAGAAAATTTCCAAACACTTCGCCACACCCCGTTCCACTGTTTTATCCATCGTTCATAAACAGAAAGAAACCAGTGTCGTATCAACACTTGCAAAATGGGATCTTTTAAGAAAGATTTCAAAACTTGGAGAGACTAAAATCACAAGGACAGTTTTAGTCAAACTTAAATCGGGCATAAAGGCTCTCCAAACAGATCTGTAGAAAGCCGGAACAGATTTTCACGTCTCAACAAATTGTAGAACATTGAACCGACAAGTATTTCACGGACGATTTGCTCAAATAAAAACTACCAGTGGAAAAAAAAACATAAAAAAGGCTCTTTAACATTAGCTAAAAGGATTTTAGTTTAGTTAAATGGAATGCAAATATTTGTAAGACAAAAAATCGATCTTTTAGGACGCAGTCAGTAAGGTTACGTTTAGGGAAAAAAATAAATAAAAGGCATGGCGTATGACGTATAAAAACGATCATCTGTCAGTTAGGCATCGTGAAGACTTTTTTTTTTTTTTTTGGTAAGTTCCTTTTAGTACAGTAATTGCCGACAAACGAACTCCGATTAAAGAATAAATGGATTTTCGAAAGTATCACTCGATCCTTCGTAGATCTCTTTTTTCTCTCCAGTTACATTTGGCCAGAGATAGGTTTTCTAACGAGACAACGACCTGAAATACACCAAATTAAAATGCAGTCTCGAATAGTCATGCTGGTGAGGGTTTTTCAGTTTATCAGCGTGGATTTTTGATTACTAGAACAGAATTACAGGAAATAATTTACTGTGCTTGTATTTGTTTGAAAATTTTAATTACTAAATTAGTTCGTAGGTTTAATAAACTGCAACAAAATAAACGTGCCGAAAAGGAAATAATTTCAAAAGTAATAAAGGTGCTGTGGAAAAATTCATCGGAAGAAAAATAATCGTGCCGAGGAGGAAATCATTTGAAATTATTTGGATCGAATATTATTCTACAATTAATTTCCTCCACTACAACCGTGTTAATTTTGCAAATAATTTCCTTTACATCAAAGTTATTATGTTTGAGTATTATTTTGCAAATAATTACCCCATGGCATCCTTTTTAATTTTGCAAATAATTACTTACACGGCAAAATTATTATTTTTCAAATGATGAGAAAGTGAGAAAATTGTTTGAAAAATAATAAATGTAGGAATATATTCTTAAAATAGTCTGCTGCACTGAAGAATAAATTACCGAAAACAAACAAGCGTTCTGTGGATGATTTGAAGAATAATACTTATGTCGAAGAGGAAATTATTCTAAAAATAAGTGCGCCATAGAGGAATTTTTTTGCAAAATTAATATCTGTGCTATAGAAGAAATTATTTGCAGAATAATATTCGTGCCGAAGAGGAAATTATTCGAAGAATAATACTTGTTCGGATAAGGAAATTATTGAAAAATAACAATCGTGCCGTCTAGAATATTATTTTAAAGTTATTAAGGGTACTCTTTAGGAAATTATTTGGAAAATAATAAACGTTACATCGAGGAAATTATTTGAAAAATGATGAGTGATGTGGAGGGATTTATTTGAAAAATAATAAGTGTGCGGTGGAGGAAATTATTAGCAAAATTAATAAAGGGGCTCTGGAAGAAAATATTTGCAGAATAATAATGGATGCGAAGAGAAAATTATTTGAAAATTAAAAGCCTGCCGCAGCGGAAATTATTTGAAGAATAATTCTTGTGCCGTCGATGAAATCATTGGAAAATATTAAGCCTGCCGCGGTAGAAATTATTTGAAAATAGTAACCATGCCACGGGGTAAATTATTGGAAAATAATATTTGTCCCGAAAAGGAAATTATTTGAAGAATAAGAAGCGTGCGGAGGAGGAAATTATTTGGAATATAATAAAAGTGCCATGGAAGATATTATTTGGAAACTAATAAATGTGCCGTGGAGAACATTATTATGAAATTAATACACGTACTGAAGAGAAGATTGTTTGGAAAATAGTAATGATGCTATGGATGACTTTACTTGAAAAATCGTAAGCGTACTGCACCTGAAGTTATTTGAATATAATACTTGTTCAGTAGAGGAAATTATTAAAAAATAAAAAAAATGTGGAGTTGAGAAAAACTATTTGAAATATAATAACGGTGCTGTGGAGCAAATTATTTATATAGTAATACTCGTGCCGAAGAAGAAATTATTTTTTAAATTAATAAGCGTGCCCAGGAGGAAATTATTTGAAAAGGCATGAGCGTAATGTAATATATTTTTTGATAAAGTAAATAAGATTTCTAAAATATTTTTATAAAAATATAATAACATTTATTGTTGCGAATTATTTAAAAAATAAATTACATTACGATTTTATTAAAATAGTTAAAAACTATGATTCGATCAATCGATTGATTGATTGGTTTTCTATGGCTTATCAACCCTTTGCAGAGTATTTAAAACCCCCCAAAATTTTAATGATTGTAAAAATATTTTTTGTTCAAAAATATAATTAACCCATAGCTGGGGGAGGTAGATTCATGCCTAAACATAATGTGATGAAAAAACAATAATTTATGTAGATATAAGCTGGGGGATCAATTCTAGATTACAATCAATATATAAAATGATCCCTCACTTTATGACCAGAATACTTTCTATACATTCATATCCCAGAGAATGTAAACAAATCTAAAAGACTGTGTAGCTAATCAGTATTTCATTGATTGATTGATTCGTTTTCTACGGCTTATCAACAAATAAGAGCTTACAATGTGTATATGAAGTGGGTGATCAATTCTATATTACAATCAATATATAAACTGATCCCTCACCTTGTGACCAGAATAGAATTCTTTTTTCTTTTTTTTTTTTTTTTTTGAAAATGATTCGAAATTGCTTATCGAGTTCCAATTCCAGTTGGGTTCGTTATATTCACTTACGAGCAAACAAATCCACTTGGGAAAGGCATGATAATTTAGTGATATAAATCCTACTAATTAACCGATGGAAGAGATGGATTCATGCCTTTCCCAAGATTATTTGCATATAACCAGACGGGAATTGGAACACGGGTCTCCGATTAACAATTCCGAGCCACTGTCCATTACACCACCCGCACATCAAAACTTAGAACACCGGGTATCCCCAATCGGTCATCCATCTAGGTATTGACCAGGGACGGTGTTGCTTAACTTCAGTGATTGTACGGAAACCGGTGACCATTACGACTTCTCAGATTAATATTCTTTGTTTTTAACAGAATTATCATATCGCAATTTATACTGTTTTTAACATTGATAAGATTTAACATTGTTTGATATAATTTGGGTAATTTGATGTTGAAATTTAATTTTGGGGGAGCTTTAAAATCATTGAAATATGATATATGTTATTCTGCTTTCGCAATAGAATACATGGTAGATGATACTCAGCTTTTATGTATATACATGTTTGAGAGGCGGTAATATGTATGTTTTATTTTGTAGTTTTGTTGAAATTATATTTTAGAATACACTTTGTTCTCCTTAAGAAATTGAAGGATATTATATGGATTATATGGATATTATATGGATTATATGGATATTATATGGATATTATATGGATTAATGTCATAAAAGAGTTCTTTCCTTTTCGTTATTTGCTTGGTTGAATTTGTTTATCAACCTCCAGATATCCTTCCAGATATGTTAGTCCTGGGCATGACGATAAACCATATCCGGCAGCAACGTGTCTGATTGGGATATCGGAGGATTTGAGGAGTGTGAAACTATCTTTTAATTTCTGTTGTTCCTAGGTCAACCCTCTCCCGGGGTGGTAGCATCTGTTAGGGCCATTTTATAAAAAATAATGAACCCCAAACACTCAATATAAAATATATATATATATATATATATATATATATATATATATATATATATATATATATATATATATATATATATATATATATATATATATATATATGTTTTATTGTAAAAATACTAGCAATACATATTTATATAAAAAAACTACCAACAATCATGTCTATTTTAAAATTACATACAGTACATATTTATAGTATAATTGTGAAATAGTACAATTATCAATCTCACCGGGTTGTTTAATACTAAAAAAATCTAAATATTTTGAATACAATTTTATGACTACATATATTTTAAATCCTTCAACTGCAGATAAAATGTATTGTTAGTCCATTTGCTATAAAATGTACTATTTCACAATTGTACTATAAATATGTACTGTATGTAATTTTAAAATAAACATGTTTTCTTGGTAGTTTTTTGTATAAATATGTATTGCTAGT